GCAATTATTACAATGTTTTTCTCTAATCACCACGCTTGGCAGAATTTTTTTTTAATGCTTTTAACTAAATACTGAGTGTACAAAATTTTGATAAGCGAGAAGCCTTTTAGATGAATATTTAGTATTGTCAATCAACTTGACAATAAGTTCACTTCTTTTGTTAACGAGTTATCCCATGTAGGTAACATAGTTTAAGAGCACTGTGAGATAAAATTCGGCGGGACAGTTCGTGGCATCGTTTGACGCGACATCGGCATGGTTCGGGGCACACTAAAAGTTCTGCGCTCCTGGCCGCTCATAAATGTTTGAATTTCGAATGTTATATTTATAAAACTAAAAACTCTATTCTTTTCTTTGGTAATGGACTCGTACTGTTGTTGTTTTGCCAATGTCAAGTATTTAAGAAATTTAACATTATGATAATTTGTTTAAAATCTTCTTCACGCTATGTTAATGCTTTATATTGTAAAGTTTTTGAGAGATTTTGACGGCAGCCTGAGCACGCTGACTGACAATCAGTGACGATAGTATCTCAAGGCACCTAAGTCGACACAATGTGCGGTCTTCCATTTACCAGCACGACGACGGCGATATTATATTCTATTTTAAAGGTTTCAAACGGATTCTAAAAAATATTTCAACTACTTCCGCATGAACGAGGAGACATTTCATCATTTCACAAGTCAATTTCGAGTCTCAATCTCCACGCGTCCCTTCTACATCGGCCCGCGCACACGCACACACGCACACGGTTGTAATACGTACACAATACACATGCAGTTTACCCGGCGGGCAACGAGTGGGAGCTTGCTGTCACCTCATCCTCACGGCACTGGTGTGAGTTAGAGTTATCGCCGTGCCGTGGCCGGAGCCAGTAAGTGATAAAACAAGCCATAATTATATTTCATATATTTTTGCTTCCCCGACAGCCTTGCTGTTGCCGGCGCTGGGGCTATGCCGGTGAATGGAAAACCACACATTATCTTGAGGTTGACATCACCATTGGAATACTTGTTTCATCGTTTCCACTCATAGTTCACATGCGCTGACATTTAATACACAAAATAGCACCACTTTTAAGTGCCGCTGAGAGCGCGCGCGCGACGTCAGTGAGATTATACCTCATTTCAGCACCGTAAGGCGCAGAATTTGATTGTGGCCGTGTTTCTCTTCATGATGAAATTCGTGAAGGTCTACCCTACACCGAGATCATTGATAAAAATATGGCTACTGTCAGGCGGCTAATTGAAGAAAAGTGGCGTATCACATATGAGGAGATTCGAGAATGTTTGGGTATTGTTAAGTATGAGCCAAATACAAAATATATTGGTAAATCCAATTGCGCATGCCTTAAGCGTATTAAAAAATTACGTATACCATGATTATACGTAATTTTTTAAAGTAGTTTAATTACACATATGTTTTCACTAAAAACCTTTTATTATTATACTTCAAATTTTCAGATAATATTATGTCAAATTTTAATTTAAAAAAAGCTTGGAAAATCCAAAAATTCACGAATTATAATGCTCATATGATCGTAAAAAAAATGTAAATTGTAGTTCTATTCGTCAAAAAGTTCCAGTAGCAGTCACTGAAGTACACTTTCAAGTCACTCTATCAAGTCCGGAGGTAAGGACTCATCATAACCAGCAAAACGAGGCCAAACTCAGCACATCTAGTTCTCCTCGTCGAGGAGTTCCAGTAGCAGTCATCAAAGTACACTTTCAAGTCACTTTATCACGTCCGGAGGTAAGGTCTCATCATAACTAACAAAACGAGGCCAAACTCGGCACATCTAGTTCTCCTCGTCGAGGAGTTCCAGTAGCAGTCATCAAAGTACACTTTCAAGTCACTTTATCACGTCCGGAGGTAAGGTCTCATCATAACTAACAAAACGAGGCCAAACTCGGCACATCTAGTTCTCCTCGTCGAGGAGTTCCAGTAACAGATGCCGAAGTACACTTCCAGATCTATAAAGTCCAAGACGTATAAGTATATTCATATATAAATTCTGCGTGCTTTTAGGGAAACAAAATATTGTAATAAAAACCTGTGATTATAAAAATAATAATAATATCTTATCTTGGTCAAGTATGTATCACATTTGGTTTTTGGAATATAATATTATATTTCTAACGGCGATCTTTTTCGCTGTAAACAAGCGAAACAATATCCATTCACAACGGCGACCAAGGCCAGAATGACAACGTGGACGAATGACGGAGTGAAACAGTGTATTTAGTAAAATAAATTAGGTACAAGGCTCACAAACCCCCGAAAAATTTGCCGCTTCGTAGCCGAAAAAAATAAATTGCAACTAAACAAAACAAAATTAAACCGCCATTTACATTCCATGGCTCCTACATGATAGATGAAGAGTTTTAAAAATTGACCAAGTTGAACATTTGATATTTTCAAAAGTTATCATGTTTACGAAGACCGCATACTTGATAAATCCACACCATTAGTCACTAAAACGCCTTTTTATGTAAAAATAGCAACTAATCGATTTAAAAAATATTAATAAGTTCAACAATCGTTTATCTTTCTGACAATGTGCTTTTTATATCATTTATATGTATGATATGATGGCTAGATACGATTTCATGCGACAGAACGTTGGAATCTTAATTTTTAGGCCCTAGTAGAACATACCTCGCACTTTGCGCTTACGGCATGCAAAAAATGCATTAACTTTTAAAAGTTATAAAACTTTTTCCCGCTAGATTCTCCATGAATTTACCCAAGAACGAATACGGGCTTGAGTTAATTTGTGTAAAATGTGTTGTTAAAGTACGATTACGGACGCTCAAATGCTGTGTATGACATAGGTATAGAATATGTAGTTACATACCGGAAAAAAGCGTGTTCGAAGGCAACTGAAAACAAACAAAATTTAATCAGGCAGGCCAGTGTCATTGAAAAAGTTAGGGGAAAACTGCCAAGAAGTCGCATCATACATGAAGATGCATCATGAAGATGCATCATACACCATGATGATGCTTCGGTGCACACCGTGAACAAGACAAACCAGGGATGGGCAAGTGAAAAAGAACTGATATTTATCGTATCGATATTTTAAAGCATTATCGAACAGTATCGATAATTATCGATATATCGTCATGTTTTATTACTTGACGACGAAAAAAAACAACAGCACATGAATGCTTTTGTAGTTGCATTTGTGATAGCTTTTAATCTGCACGTGAAAGTATGCCCTCAGACCAATGGCCCTTATGTCTTCACGAATTGTTTGAATGAATGAAAAAGTGTTTAAAATGTAATAGAGAACACTTTTAAAAGGGTTAAATATATTATTCGTAAATTGTTTTATTTGTAAGTAACGCAAAATTTACTACAAGTGTAGGTACTCCACATGTTATATATGTATAACACAGTTAAAAATACGACTCTTTCTTCTTGAAATAGTTCGCAATCGTAAGAAATGCTTCCTAGCGGCAACCTATGTATGTGATTTACATTTTATTTTTCATCATAAAATGGTTTAATTATTGGTCCTTTGTTGTTATGTACATTGTTGCATCTTTTGAAATTTTCCATAATTATAATTAAACGAAGGTAGTCTTTTGCTTCTGTTTACAAAATTGGTACATGACAACTGTGAGACACTAATTCGCTACTTTTCATTCGTTAACAACTAATAAATTAGCTAATTTATAAACATACACTAAATTAGTTATTAGCAAAATAAATTGTATATTAGAAAATTTACGAACTTAATGAACCTGTTTGTGGAATCATTTAAATTAAAAAATAAGATTTTCCATTTATTTCGAAACGTAATTAGTTTGTAAGTTTACGGGAGTGGGTGTTATCATGAAGCATAAAAATTAGAAAGCGTACTTAGGCCAAAAATTAAATTAGCTTTTTGACATGAGTTCAGAGGGTCGGAAACAAATAAGCTTAAATTATTTCAGGCTCCGTTCTGAGCATACTAATTTTCCTTTTATTAGTATGGCCAAGTTCTCATTACGATACTTTTAAGTAATTTTGAAGAAATTTTATACAGAATATTTTTAACTAGCTAATACCCGCGACTTTGTCCTAGTTGCTTACACACATGACTGAACACGTAGTGCTTATAAAAATCATTGTTTCTTGTAACTTTAATAACTTTATATTAAATGAAGATATAGCAATATTTTTTTTTAGATAAGAGCCAAGTGTCTAAGAAATAAAACTGAGAAAATGTAATTAAAATCTATCCAGTAGCTTTTCTGTGATGCGTGCACGACTGCAAACCTCTGTCATTTTATTTATATAGATTATATTTTAAACCAACTTCAAAAGGTAGGTGGTTTACAATTCATCGGAATCTTCGTTTTTTATGTATGTTAACCGATTACTCGAAAATGCCTCATCCGATTTGGAAAATTCTTTTTTTGTTTCATAGGGTTACACTTCCCAGGTGGTCACATTTAAATGTTATCGAATTCGGTCGAGTGGTTTTAAAAAAATCAACAATAAATTATATTTATATTGCAGTCGGTTGAACAAAATTTTTAATTTTATCACTTGTAATTCCTACGTTCGTTTTTAAATTGGTAGAACTACGCTGTATATTATGGTAAGCTAAGAATGGTTCTGCTCTCACAGAATTACCAACGTAAAATAGTTTAACGCTGATATGTTTTGTATGGTGAGTGTAGAGAACCAGATACACTTTTTAATGGTAACGAGGTATTTTAACTTAGCTCTCAGGGGTGACAACACATCTCTATAATTTGATTTTATTAATCGAGGATACATGTATGTCTATAAGCCTAAGCACCCACTTACCATCATGTGAACTGTGTGATCATTCGTCACCCTTATTCTATTAAGTTAAATAAATAAATAAATAAATAAATAAGCCTTTTATTTCATGCAAAAAATGAGATACATGCATAGTTTATAGATTAACGAAAAAAGTAAAAAGAAAAAAAAATGTTTAAATCTGGATAATAATATATAAGTTTGTTTGCATGAACCCCTCCTCAAGTGAAGGTGAAGGCCTCCTCTAAAGAATTCCATGTGTCTCTATCTTGAGCTATTTGCGGCCAGCAGATACCAGCTGTTCTTATCAAATCGTCTGCCCATCTCGTGTGAGGTCTGCCTTTGAGACGTTTGCCGATTGGACCCTTCCACGTTGTTACCCTGGTGGTCCATCTCTCGTCCTTTAGCCTCGCTACGTGTCCAGCCCACTTCCATTTTAGTTTTTTAGCGTAGGTTAGGGCATCCGTTGCTTTGGTGATTTCTCTAATTTTGGTGTGACGGATTTTTTGCATCTTTTTAATGTTGAGCATACTTCGTTCTATGCCGCGTTGGCAAGTAGTGATTTTGCTTTTTAATTTGGATGTAAATTTCCAAGTTTGACATGCGTAGGTTAGACAAGGTAGGAGGCATGACATCATGACTTTTGTTTTGATATTTGTTGGCATGTTACTTTTGAATATCTCTTTTAAGGACCAGTATTTGTTCCAAGTATTTTGTACTCTTCGTTCTACTTCTAGTTCATTTTGTTTTCTGTTGAAGCCAATTTGTTTTCCAAGGTATATGTAATTCTCTGTATATTTCAAAGTTTCATTGTCCACTGATATTCTTCTCTGTATGCTATTTGTCATGACCATTGTTTTTGAAAGATTAATTTCTAGTCCTACCTGTTTGCTAGCTGTGTTTAGTGAATCGATCATGTTTTGTAATTGTGTGCTAGATTCTGACAGCAGAACTAAGTCATCCGCGAAGCGTAGATGGGATAAATAATTGCCATTGATGTTTAATCCTATCTTTTCCCAGTTGAATCTTTTTATTATTGACTCTAGGATAGATATAAATAATTTTGGAGACAGCGGGTCGCCTTGTTTCACACCTCTTCCGATGGAGAATGTAGGACCAGTGGATTCTAGTTTTATTTTTGCTGTGCTACCTTTGTAAATGTTTCTGATTATATCTATATACCCTTGTTCAACTTTTTGAGCTTGCAGGGCGGTCCATATGCTTGAATGTGACACGGTATCAAAAGCTTTTTTGTAATCGATATATGCGATGTAGAGCGTTCTTTGCTTCTCTTGGTATTTCTCCATTATTTGTTCTAGAGTATATATATGATCGATTGTTGAAAAGCCTTTGCGAAAGCCTGCTTGTTCTATAGGTTGGTTTGCTTCTATTGTGACACTTATTCTTTTGTTAATTATGGAGGAAAACAGTTTGTAGATACACGAGAGTAAGCTTATAGGCCTGTAATTTGTGATATCTTTTGAGTCACCTTTTTTATAAATTAAAATTATTTCTGACTCTACCCACTGCGATTGTATCTCAGCAGTTTTTAATATAAGGTTAAATAAGTGTGTTAATGGGAGAGTCAGTAGTGGCCAAGCAACCTTTATAGCTTCATTTGTAATGCCGTCTGGCCCTGGGCTCTTATCTATCTTTAGCCTTTTTATTTCTTGTGTGACTTCTTTTTCAGTTATTGGTGTTATGTTTCCGCTTTTGTTTGTAGAGTTAACATGGTTTGCGTTTCTATGGCCGGTACACTCGTTTTCTTGTACTTTATATAATGTTTTATAAAAATGGGTTGCTATATCTATGATTTCTTTTCGATTATTTGCGGTTTTGTCCATACGGTTTAAACTATCTATCCAATATTTATTTGTTCTTAGTTCTTTAAGAGCCTTCTTTGAGCTTCCTGCTTTTTCCAGATGTTTTTCGATAGTCTTCAATCTGTAGCTTTTGTAGTCATGTTTAATGTATTTTTTTTTTTTTTTTTTTTTTATAGGATAAGGGTGACAAACGAGCACACAGTCCACCTGATGGTAAGTGGTTGCTGCGGCCCATAGACATCTACATCTATCCTCTATTAGAAATCAAAATGTAGATGCGTTGTCACCCGTGAGGACTAAGATGGAATGCCTCATTTCCAGTAAAAAGGGCCTCCGGCCACCTGCACTCACCAAGCGAAACGCAGAGGTAAACCTCTACTTCACGCTGGTTTTCTGTGAGGTCGTGGTACCACCCCGGTTCGAGCCGGCCCATCCGTGCGACAGCAAAAGCTGCCGCGTGGCTCTACCACTATTTACATATTTACTTATCAATTTGTATAGAGCTGATAATTCATTTTTAGTGGCTCGAGTTTTTATCTTAGCATGTTGTAACTCTTGTCTTCTCTTGATAAGTTCCAGTGTGCGCTCTTTTAGAACTTTATGGTTACCTTTTGATATTTCGTTGGGGGTTCGAGCGTTCTGTAAGCTCTGGGTTATGGCCTTGCTTAATGTATTATAGAAAGCCTGTACTAATGTTTTTTCTTGGCATTTATGTAAATCTTGTAACTGAGATGAGATGTTCTGTTTATAAAATAATATTTCTTGTTCGGTTTTCAGTGATGAATAGCGGTTGCTTTTATACTCTGTGCGTTTTTTCTTCTGCTTGGTGATAGACATTGTTGCTCTGATTGCTCTGTGGTCTGACGGGTAGTTCAAATTTAAAACTTCTATGTTTTGGAAGATGTTTGGTTGATTTGACAGTACATAATCTATTTCATTTTTGTATTTATTGTTCGGTGATCGCCAGGTCCACCTTTGGTTTGGTTTTTTATGAAAGAAAGTATTTAAGATGGCCAGTTTATGTTCAAGGGCGAAATCAATAAGCCTCTGACCTCTCTGGTTTCTTTTACCATTCCCGTTTGGTTTCATTATTAGATGTTCATCTATTCTTGGTTGCCCTATTTTCGCGTTAAAATCACCCATTATTATATAGTTCTTGTGAGCTTGGTCTAGAGCTCTATCGACATTTGAGTAGAAGGTGTTAATCTCTTCTTCACACGCTGTTTCAGTCGGTGCATATATTTGGATAATAGACATGGGCAATCCTTGTATGTTTAAGTTCAATAATGCTACTCTATCATTTATGCCCATGAAACTTTCAAACCAGTTCTTGCGAGTTTTATTTATTATGAAACCGACTCCATGTTTACCAGGTGTGTGTCCCGTGTGGCATAGTATGAAGTTACTATATTCTTCTATCCGAGTGCCCGTCCTCCTTATTTCACACAATCCAATTATGTCATATTTGACTAATGAGTGCTTCGCTAAGTTCGATTAAGCGTTCGTAAGTAGATAAAGTTCTGACATTGTAAGTTACTATGTACAGCTGATCTTTCTTCTTTTTTGTTGAGTTAAGTATTTCTTGGGTTTGGGTATCATTTCTTATTATTAAAGAAGTTTGAGTTTGAGATGTCTTCTTTAGAGGGTTTTGGTCTTGATCTTCCACGGTGACCAGCCGGATTGGAAGATGGTTTTCGTTGCTTAGTTGAAACTGATTGAATGTTGCATCGTTGTGGGAGGGGGGGGGGGGGGGGGTTGGTAGCTATGAATGTAAGTTGTTGGTTGTATTGTCGTTGGTTTGGTTATGTGGTGTGTTGACGTTATTTTTTACTAAGTAGCTTAGAATGCTGGGTTTTAGAACTCCTTCTGGGACACTGTTTGATCTGGGTATAGATGGGTTTGATTGTATTATTTTGTTTTTCTTGATGGGTCTTGTACTATTACCAACTAGGGCTTGAGAATTAGTATCTGCCTCTGGTGAAGTCATCAGTGTTCTTTTGTTGTTTGGTTTTAATATGACAAGTTTATCGTATTTTATCGTGACTTTATTACCTTTCTCGTGCTCTCTATTTGCTTCTTCCTGTAGTTCTTTCCTTTTTTCTAATATGTATTTAGGATAATCTTGGTTCAAGTAATATTGGGTGTCTTTCAGTAATCTTTTTTGCTTGAGAATGCTGATCTTTAAACCAAGCGTAGAAAAGGTTACAATTATTGGTCGCGGTTTATCACCTTTTTTCCCCACTCTCTTTATTTCTTGAATATCTCTACAATCAAATTTTAAGAACAATTTTTCACTTATGAATTGCAATATATTGTTCTCTAAGTTATGATAGGATGTCTCAGTCTCTTCAATACCGAAGAAAATTATGTTTCTTTGTCTTGCTTGTTTTTCCATAAATTGAAATCTTTTTTCTTGTTGTTCAACATTTTTTTTCAATGTTTGATGTTTTTCTTCTAGTATGGTAAATTTTTCTTCTAATTTGATAGTTATGTTGAGTGTTACTTGTTCTGTCACCTTTTCGCCGCTTTTCTGAATTTCTATTTTTTGTACGTTGAGTTCTTTTTGAATATTTTTTAAGGCTTTTATAATTTCCTCCATAGTGTCTGTTTTGTTTTGGTACTCGTTGCGCCCTCTAGTAAACACTGGTTAGTATTGTTTCGTATTCGTATTTGTATAGTACGTAAGTCGAACGTAGTTTGCTTCTTTTCTAATAGATGGCGCGTTTCGTAGTTTATTTTTCTATGGCAGGAGAAATTGCAGATTCACTCAGGTGTAAGGTTATGTTTTTTCCAAAAGGATAGCTTTTGCAATTTTTTTTTCATTTATTCGCACACTGGCACTTTTGTAGATTAACACTGGTACAGTTTAGATTTCTAGATTCGTGAGAAAAGACTTGAAAAGTTCGTAGATTGTTGTATGTTTACACTTCAGTTTCTTCTTACTTTCTCTCTTCTTCAATTCTATTAATTTACCTAAGGCAAAATAGTATAGCATTACTGTTAGGTTGCATGGTTTCTGTAGCTTCGAAATGTAAATACTTCGTTTTAGTTTTATACATTAAATTCTTGGATGCAAAATATTGAATTGTGGTTATTACAACCGCATACCTATTGTATTTATGAATAGAGTTGTAACAACCACTGTTCTCAATAGGATTTGTTCTTTGCACAGTGTTCCAATGTTGTTAAAGTTCTATAGTCATTGTGTGACAAGTTAAGTCAGAGTACATTAAACATTTTTCGTTCTTTGATTGTGAAAAAGCTAAAAGTAACCTCAAAGGAGCTAAAAGGTATGCAAAGGAAATCGAGTAATAGCGGATATTGAATCGACATCTAAGCGAAGGTTTATGTATAATTGCAAAGATAGAAACTTTATACGAATAATTTTTTAAAATAACTAAGTAAAACCATTAGAAACAAATCAGGAATTAATCCCATTAGATTAAAGTGGTACCTATGATTCTTATATTCTTTACTAAATGTGCATTATAATAATTAACTTGCTTTCATTCATCAATTCGATTTTAATATTTATTGCTAGAGTAGCCCCGCCCCGGCTTCCCACGGGTGATTTCTGGATCTCGACAACAGACCCCTCAAACTCAAACGAACATAAAAAAATTCATCAAAGTTGTTCGAGCCGTTTACGAGTTTTAGTGAGACTAACGGACAGCAATAGATTTTTATATAAAGAGATAATATAAGTATATCCAAGTTTACAATAATTGAAGCGATTTCTTTTGTGTATACCGATTTAAATTTTTCCTTCATTTATTCTTGAAGTACCTATATAAAATGTTCGATCAAAAACCTACGCTTTTGGTTTGAGCTATACTTTCATTATTACATTGAGATATTATGATTTTACGCTTAAATTTTTTTTTAGAAAATCGTATTATAATTTGCGTAAGAAAAATTTTGATAGAAAAATATATAAATTTCAAGTAAAGTGAAATAAGAAATATACATTTCTTTTACAAAAAAGGGTAGGACCGAGACAATGATTATTTTTGTATTGTAGAGACGTATGACATACATAAATTACCTACACATGCACACATGGATAAACATCACAACAAATATTTGTAGGCCATTCTTAGGCATTGTTTCTTGCATGATTCGATCCCGCGGTCCACAATGCTACAACACAATGCTTAGTCACTGCGTCAACGAGTCGTCATTATGAATTTAACTATTCTTCGACGCAAAGTATTAAACGAAATAGCTACAAGCACGCTTGGTATTTCAGCAGAGTTAAAATATTACCTTAATATCTTAAAAGCTTTAACAAAAATTTACTTCGCAAATATCCGCGTTATAAAATAAAATGATGTGTCTTACCTAGTACGAAGAGCACCTCCCGCCCTCCCTCAATTGCGTGCACTAACCCGTCACCACTAATCCCAGCACCACTACTCCCAACACCACTACACTAGGCAAGACACACCACTGACGATAATACGACACGTGTTTCGCCTCTACACGAGGCATACTCAGGTGATATAGACTCTACGGTGGCTAACCACTAAGTTACTTAGCGGTTGCGAAGTAAATTTTTGTAAAAGCTTTTATATAATGGATTTCCGCAAAGTAACGCCTGATTCTATTAATTATATTAATATCTTAAGTTAATATCTTAAAATATAGTACTAAAAGCCCTGTGCTTGAATCCGCCTTTCGACTACAGTTGGTTCATCACCTCATATCACAAGCATTTAAGCTTAGTTGAAGTTGGTTGACGGAAGCATTGGTAAGGTAGCATTTTTTAATATTATTTTTTAATGTTACTAAATTGATAGTTGATGCACAACAATTTTGGTACTTAGAGAATATAATGTGCTCTTATTTATAAGTAGATGGTGAGGCTACTGAAATGTAGGTGCGAGAAGACACGAATTGTATTGTATTTGTAGCTTACAGACTATGTTTACATTACTCGGAAGTATTTATCAGTTCAGCCCCAGCTGTAACTTAAAGCTGGTGACGCATTCCTGTTACAATAATACACTTTAATAACATGGAATATGTTTAGAACATAGTTCTGATAAAGACATGAATTGATTGTATATTTGATTGGTGAGAAAAATCTTACTAAGTTACAATTTATAAACTTCTTATTTGAAATGACACTATAAAATTTTACGTTGATCATATAATGATCTATTTTTATTTTTTTTCCCTTAAAAGCTAATTATTTATAACACAATAGTATGAAAATATTTTTAATTGTTATACATACAGAATCAGTTATGCCGATTATGTCTGTTGTATTACATATTTCTATACATAGAAAATAATAAATGGATGTAGAAACAATATTGATTTTCTACTGTTTACTTTATTTTTACTGCCATTTTTAACTATTTACTTACAATTTAATATGCTAATTTCACAATTACATAGCATGTTTATAGGTTAATTTCACAAACACATTACACGTCACTGATGAACTTTTTACGCGCCTTTTCACTCACTATACAATTTCACGCGGTAGCGCTAGCTGTAGGTGCTGAGGATAATTATCACTGCGTCCTGCAGCTACTTCTTGTCTGATTACTTTTCGTACACGCTGTATACACTTTTTGTATATTATATAGACGATGGCCATTATGATTACTATGACCACGATAGATATCGAAGTTCTATATTTCTCCATTTGTTGCTCGAAATGCGAATGTGTAGCATCATTCGCACCATTTTGAGCGTCAATGACTTCTTCATTTCTCTCCTCAGTGCTGTATGTTTTACCCATTATACACAATAATTAATTCACAGGTTCTATGTTCACGTTACGATAACTAAGTAAATTATGATCTATCTACACTATATACATTACTATTATAAAGAGGAAAGATTTGTTTGTTTGTTTGAATTGAATAGGCTTCGAAACTCCTGGACCGATTTGAAACATTCTTTCACCATTAGAATCCTGCACTATCCCTGATGAACATAGGCTATATAATATTTTCAAAAAGTTAGGGATCCGTATAAAAACTTCGTTAATGTAACCCAAGGTGTGAAAAAAATACCAAAAAGAATCCTTATATTGCGTACGCTGCGGAAACTATTGATAATAGAGCAAAGTAATGTGCTTCAGTTTTATAGAGGATATCAATATCTATAAAAACGTCTGCAATACCATATGTTTAAGTATTACAGTTATGTCACAATAACAACTTTTTCATGTTAAAATGTGAAATAGTAACGCCGGTACAAACTAGGCCACATTATTCGTATACCTGTATCATGCATAACCACCAATTACGTTAACCATGTAATTTTAGTAACATATCTCACTTTTTAAATCTTTGTTAATTCAGCAACCGTCCGTCGTGATGTCTCTCTCGAAGTTCGCATGTCGCAAGGCGCAGACGCGTGATGTACGCGGATGAAACCGCGGGGCACAGCTAGTTATGTATTAAAACTAAACTTAATTAACGAGTTTTTAT